CCCCATGATACCCGACAAGCAGGCCTTACAGCCCTAAGCCCACAAACTCAAGGCTTCGAGCTTCAGGATTTGAGGCTGCCCCAGTTCTATGTACAAACTAGTTCGCATATGCGATGACACACTCATGGAAGCCTAAGAACGGCCGCACAACCCTAAACCCTAAACCCCTAAACCCTATGAAACTCCGCAATTCATCAGTTGCTTCTTCGAGTGGGGTGTAGGGCGTGTGGCTCAGGCTTTTGGGCCAGGAGCTTTATATACTGGGTATATAATAGCTATATTAAGGGTATATACCTGGGTCCTTTTAAGGGTCCCTCCTTTTACCCTTGGATTTAAGGGATCTGTAGGATACCCTACCTGAGTTTAGATTTTTAGTGTTTAGGACCGCTTTGGTCCAATTTCAATATTGCTTATTTAAGTTTAAGGTAATTCTGCAATTCCTACGTCCCTGCCGTGTGCATGCCTGCCCTCCAACCCAAGCACACAACCTCGAGCCATAAGCCTTAACATGCCTCACACCCTGGTTGTAAACCTGCCACTCCAGCCCTAACACTGCTTATCACGCCCCAACACCTAGCCCCCCCTTGACTGCAACAGTCCGATCGTATCCCCCATACTTGTGCAATGCTCTACATATACCTCGTCAAAACCCTCTTCTGAGCCCCCGAGAGACTCCAAGCCGTTCGCCCAGAGCTTGAGAGGGGAGGCCTCTAGTTCCACTGCCAAAGGGCAGGGCATCCGTAGAATGGGGTTCCCTTCTAAGGATCCCCTCCAAGGTTCAGGGCTTCAGCTTACTATAGGGGCCTAGATAATTACCTATACTATTTTGGGGGTTCTTTGTTGTAATTATAGTATAATGGGCCCCAAAACCCTATGCTACCTATTGAGGCCCCTATTTTAGCACCTCAGGTTCGGCTCTCTTCGCGACGAAGATTGCTGTCCTTATGTTGTTCCACTCGCATTGTGGGCTAGATGCTAAGCAGCAAAACCCTAAACCCTAAGGTACCATAGGTCAAAACAACAAAACCTAAGCCCCTAAACGAAGCCCTAGACTCCTAAACCCTAAATCCTAAAGCATCTGAGGCAAAGGGAACCCTAATGCAGGAGCCCGATGAAGAAACCCTGGGCCTATAACCCCAAAATAGTAGGATTCATATGAAGAACCCTTTTTAAAGACCCAGGGTTTCCTAATCAGGTTCCTACATCAAACCCCTCAAAACCCTTATAATACCCTTATAGTACCCTCATAGTACCCTTATAGCAACCCTTATAGTACCCTTTAAAGGAGCCCTACATTATCTTAGCTGCATGTCGTCGAATGTTTGAGGCCCCGCAGCGGGCTCCCAGCTTGTACTGAGCGGCCCCGGGTGCTCCCAAGTGCTTCGTTAGGGGTTCTTTCTTGATGTTCTACTTCTACTATTATTGTCATTACTACTGCTACTATTCCTATTACTATTACTATTACTATTCCTATTCCTATTCCTATTCCTATTACTATTACTATTACTATTACTATGACTATTACTATTACTTTTACTATTACTATTACTATTACTATTACTATTACTATTACTACTACTACTACTACTACTACTACTACTACTACTACTACTACTACTACTACTACTACTACTACTACTACTACTACTACTACTACTACTACTTCTCCGTCTCTTACTCCTTTTCCTACTCCTACTCCCCCTGATGAGCTACAGATACCTACAGTCTCCACTTTAGTTCCTTTTTTCTGATTAGCCAGTTATATGCTTAGGATCCTAGAATCTATGCTTCCCGCCTTGATGATCTAGAGTTTCCAAGAATTTTGAGTCTTCAGCCATGAACACTGAAGCTTAAACGGCCTTGACGCAGAAATTGTTTCTAGGCAGTCTTATTGATTATACATGCACATGCATACTGTATGTACATACACATACTTACACACGTGCGTGCATGCACGCACACACACACACAGACACAAGTATGTGTGTATATGTATGTATGTACGTATGTATGCATGTATGTAAGTCAGAGTATGTTTGTACAGATACACACACACACATACAGGCACATAGATACATTATTATTTCTTATTTTTATCATTGTTATCATATTGTTATTATTATCGGACTCACTTGCTTAAACGCTTACATCCGTACCGTTGTAGCACCATGTAGAGCCCTAGAAAGGCAAGCATGCGGAAGCCCCGGGCTACTGCTCTAACGTTTCCGTGCAAGCTTTGCTCGTGGCGTTTTGTTCCTGTCTCGTGAAGTTATCGGTTTGGGGCTTGACGGCTTCAAGCTTAGAGGGTTTGTGCCTTGGCCGGGGGTGGGGTGGAGTAGTCATTACAAGGGGTTCGGTTTTAGGCTTTATGGGCTGCGGTGTCGGGTTTAGTTTTGCGAGACTTTCTGAAAGGCCTGGAGTGTGTCTTGACACACAGACACGTTGTGCCTGAAATGGCGACTGCGGAGAAGAACAGAGTGTGTGACGCGTCACATAGACTCTTCCAGCCTCCAACCACAAACCTCAACACAAAAAGGCCAACAAAGCAAACAAGAAAAAGGCAATGCAGAAGAGCCGCAAGCCCACATCCCCAATTACTCGCAGGCTCAGCCTCTTGACAAGATTCTTCAGCGCAGGATATACGCAGAAATCCTAATACGCCTTGATTAAGGAGTATACCTTAAATCGTATAATACTAAGGCCTCTGTTTTTTGGGTTCTATTCCTCAATTTAGGGGTATTGAGTTCTCTGGGTAGGCACCCCTGTAGCTTGCCCCTATCGGCTTGTGCTGGAGGGGCCTCTTGCATCCTGGACGGCAGAGCCCACAGTCCCATCACGAAAGGTGATATACAGGGCCTGGGTAGCTACACTAATGGGTTTTGAGAGTCCCAGACCCGACATGTAGTTGCGAACCCCAGCGATGAATCTCGGGATTTGCCATAATAGACCAGCTGTATACTCTACCGAAGGATGGACTTCGCAAGCTGGTAACGACTCGAGTTACAAGCACTTAGGACAACCGTTGGACAGCCCCAGTCCCAGTGTCTCCTGTAGATCTCAGGGACAAGCCCTGCCTCTTGCTTGGGGGGTCGGGGGACTTAGTAAGTAGTTAGTAAGTAGGTTTATAAGTGGGACCCTAATTGGGGTTATGATACATATAAGTCCCCAAAATCACCAGTTTCTAAGTCCCCCGACCCTCCAAGTGCCGGCTGATGACCCAACAGATGCATGCCAGAGCCGTGTCGGCCGAAGTTTAATCGCTGCCTGCCCAAGCCCGAGAGCCTCAACTTACCTTTGGTTAGTAGGGAATGGTGGTAGTAGTAGTAGTAGTAGTAGTAGTAGTAGTAGTAGTAGTAGTAGTAGTAGTAGTAGTAGTAGTAGTAGTTATAGTTGTACCCCATTCCTCCATTCCCTACTAACCAAAGGTAAGTAAAGGTACGATCGAGACCAGCGAAAGTAAGCAGGACGAGATACTGATTGGAATATGGCCATGGGATCACCAGTGCAGCCCGTAAATGCAATAATGCAGTACCTTCAGTATTGTGAAAAGAACATTTCGAGTCTACGAAAGGGGTGCTTAGGATGATTTTTTGTTTTGTGCTCGTCAGGGCAGCTGTTGTCAGTATGTCAAACATACAAGAGCTGTAGATAGAACCTACAATGATACACTAGAGTTCTTCAGTTCAGCCCAAGGCACGCTTAAGGCACCTAGCATCACCACGACACTCTTAGTTTTGCTTGGGTTTTCCAAATTGAAGCCCATGCTTACTGCCGGTGAGCTCGCGAACCTCGCTGATGTCGTCAAGCAGGACACCTCCAAGCCCCAAATAGGGTTGGAGTTCCTGAATTCTGAACCCCACGAGTGTGCAACTACTGAATCCACCTTGGCATTGCCCCAAACCCTCAATCCTACCCGCGCATGCTAAAACTCCAAGCTCCAGCAGGTCACCCACAATCAGAGTGGTGAAGAGACTTTGCACAACGAAGGCTGCCAGCGATTTTTGGCGTTTCACGGTTTTGTACTGTAAATGCTAAACTCGACCAGAAGCTTTATTTAACTGACCAGCTAATAAACTTCGTGGTTTTTCTTCGGTTTTCGGTGTTCAGATTTCCCCGGCAGCAAGGTAAGCTATTCATGTTACTATGCGGGCAAGACAGATCTCCCAGAAAGTCGCAAATCCAAAACCCTGGCGGGTTTTAGGGTTTGAGGTTTTTAGGGATTTAGGGTTTAGGGTTTTAGAGTGTAGGGTTTAGGGTTTTCGGGTTTAGGGTTTAGAGTTTTAGGCTTTAGGGTTTTAGGGTTTTGGGTTTTGGAGTTTAGGGTTTAGGGTTTTTGGGTGTTAGGGTTTAGGGCTTTAGGGTTTTAGGGTTTTGGACCTACCCATAGGCTCCATAGTAGTTCCTGTAAGGGGGGGTTACAACAATGGATCTATAAGGGTATGTTGATCATGAGGTAGGTCGTACACATTCGGGTTGTCATCAGTTGCAGGGGAGGCCATGCTTATCTTCACTGTATCGTTCCAATTCAGGAGAAGGTCAGCACGGCCATTGCACTTCCGACGTGAATCTTTTCACACTGTGGCACGACAAACATCTGCACCCTTGTGTTATGGCTTCATGCTATCTGTACTAGCGCCGATGCCACATAAGGTTACATGCAACTGTAGTCCAAACTTGACTACATACATGGAGCTCAGCTCCATGTTCGAGCCTTCAAGGCTTTCACTCACAAAGTAAGGCAAAGCTACCCCGACCCTCATACACAAATCGGTCAGGGGAGAACCACACTCCTCCTTGAGCGCATCATCTCTAAGAGATGGAAGCTCATCTTCCAGCACCCGACCGAGTTGTCATCTGCAAACAATAACGGCAGAACTGTCTACGATTCGTAGAGACGCCTCTTAGTGCATGACAATTCGGGAAAATGTGAACAGCTCCTGGTGTTCTACTTGTAGAGGTAATCATCTCGAGCTCACACATTTCTGGGTGCGACAAACCACCTAAGGGATCGGTCTGTATACCGACTTCACATCTTCCCAGTGAATCCAACCCTTCCCTTCCTGACCGTGTAAGTCCAAGTCCATCGTCAAGAACCGTAGGATCAGGGATCTGGGCCCGCCTATTGGAAAATCCACTGGAGGAAGGGATTGTAGTTCCTGCTGTAGGTGCAGCAGGAGGCCGAATAGAGGAATGGTGATGAACAGGAGTGGCTGGTAAGGCTGAAAATCCAGATAGCCTGGTAGGAGGAGGATCATTTGAGGAACCCGCTGGAGTTGACTCTGGCAAGCTATTCATTGGTTGCTGAACAGGGACACCTGAACGTGCATCAACCTGAACATGTACGCATGGAAAGCTGCCATCATCTCCTTGCGAAGATATGCCGGTGGCCCTTCTACGAACCCCATAATCTTCTACCTCCCTTTCAATGGCCCTTCTAACTGCCTCCTGTCGTCTTCCCCTACGATCCCTATCATCGTCATCAGCATCATCAGGACCCCTTATCATTCTCACGCGTGGGATCTGCATGCACGTTCTTAAACAGTGCTTGCCGGTTTCCCAAATGCACAGGACCGACAACGCCAACAGGATAGCCAACACAGAAAGCTCGGGCCCGATCGGCTCCAACTCCCCGTCCTCAATCTCAACTGAATCAGCCTCACCCATTTGCATCATCAAGGTCAACATAACTAGGCAGATCGCTGCCCGATTTGTTTCAAGGTCATGCGACCTGGTTGCTCCTGCAGAAACCATCGCTACTTGAGGAGGAACTCTGGGGCCTAAACCAACTAAACCACTAAGGTAGGAGTGGCGGGGACCTGGAAGAATTTTCGTCAGTCCATCCGCCAGCTGGATGTCTCCTGGGCAATGTTCCACTTCTAACTCTCCTCTGGATTGGAGATCTTTAAGGTAGTTTCCCCTAACGCGCAAATGCCTTGTGCGTGAACTACCATTACCCTCACTCAAGGCTATAGCGGCGAGATTATCAACCCTAAGAAGTATTGGCTTCAAGGAAGGTGTCAGGGTTCTTATGAGTGCTTGGGTGCTCTGCCCTAAGACCGTTCCTTCCACTGCCGAGTGCAGCTCAGCTTCGGCAGTGCTTAGGGTGATCATGCTCTGTCTCTTGCCCTTCCAGAGAACCACCTTTCCAAGGTACATAATTAACACCCCAGTTATTGACAAACCTCCATAGGGTGCAAAGGATGCATCAGTGTAAACCACCACACGGTGATCCCAAGACATGTCAGGGATCAGTGACAGCCTATACTCCTTGGTACATCCAATATACTCAAGCAACCGCATACCAATCTTCTCAACCATCGAAGGGGATCTCGTGCACCATGAACTCATAAGGCTCACTGCAAACGCCAGATCAACACGGGTCCTTTGTGTGATCCACAGAAGTTCTCCGGTGATACGTTGAGCCTTTCTCAACGCTTCTGGACTGTATTGCTCCGCCTCTGGAAGTTCCCGCACCCATTCCCTTGGTAGAGGACAAGTCTTCTTCGACGGATTCAAGCAATAAGCACGTAAGAGCTCATCAATGTAACCCGTTTGGCTCAACTCAAATCCAACAGTTCCGGCAGAATCTCTTGCCAAATGTATATCAACGCCAAGGAAAGTCACTGGTTTATCCTCGGTGGCTTCCTGCAAAGGAGTGCACTCCCATTGGGAAGTAATGAATGCATGGAGTGCGTCCGCATGGGACTTGCTAGACAGAATGAGTATGTCATCCACGTATACAATTGCATAGCCACACACAGAACCGTCAGCATTCACCAATGTCCAGAGATTAGGCTCAACAGCACACTGCTCCAGATGCAGCTCCTCGTTGTCGCAATTCCAAGTGGCTGAACGAAGGACGTCGTCTCTGAAGTTGCCCCACCATCGCGGACTTTGTCTAAGTCCGTACATTGCCTTATCCACTGCCCAGTACTCATCAGGCGAAGTGATTCCCATGTCACATAAAACACGGGGCGGCTTAAGGAGAATGCGTACTTTCTCGTGAGTCGGTATGGGAGCAAGCAAGAAGGCATTGCGCACATCTGTGATAAATGCTCTATACGACTTAGAACCAGACTCTATTAAGCACGTTCGAAGTACGTCTGCCGGGATGCCCCCTGCATACACATCCAAACCTGGCTCCTTCACTTCATAATTTCCGCATCCTACCACCCTACATTTCCTACGGTACCAGCTCTCATCTGAGCCCGGCTTCACTGTGAAAACGGTCTTAGCGGGCAACACCTGAGTGTCAGGTAAGTTCAACTCATCCCTTGCTTCTTGACCTTTCAACCTCCGGATTGCCTTCATAGCCTCAAGAGCTGTAACCTCCGTTTGCGCCGCCTTACACCACCTGTCAAGATGCATGCGAACTTCACTTGGCGACACATTGTGCACCACACGCAGCTGCGAGGTCAGTGAATTCAAGATACCTTCAACATCCTTGGTGTACATATTCTCATCTACTTTACGGACTGAGATGGATGACTCCTGATCTAAACCGTATGGTCTAGGAGTAGGCGTAAGGACACTCACCGGATCCCAGGTAGGCACTCCGATGGCATTGCTCCCGGAGCTATTCTCTATATCACACGTACCAGAAGGAGACCTGATAGCCTTGCACATCTCTGAGACCTGATCAACGGGCAACTGGCAACGTGGTGACTCTGGAGACCTGATAGCCTTGCACACATATGTATCATTGACCTGAGAATGGGACGATTCCGCCGGGAGAACTGGGATCTCAGCGGAACCACTATTATCTAGAGTAGTTATGCCTGCTATCTGGGAACCCTGGGCACCCGAAGACATCGACATCATGGCTTCCTGCACCTCAAGGTTCCACTCATCCTCGGAATCACACTCCCAGATATTCTGCAGGCGGATCATTTCCGCTTGATCCTCAGTCCATTGCTCCATTGGCCCTGATTGGAAAGGACCCCCATCTGACGAACTACTTGCAGCCTCCAACCTTACCTGAGACTGGGACGATTCCGCAGGGAGAACTGGAGTGTTGATCTCAGTGGCACCATTGTTATCCTGCTCATCCCTTCTCAGCTCCTCAAGTTCCAACCAAGTCCTTTGAGTCGGGTGAACAACATCTGCGGGACCCGGATGGTTAATACCGAGGCCTTGCACTGGTGGGCCTGGGGCATGGTGATCCAAGGTCCTATTCTGAAACACCCAGGGAATTTGCCTTTGACTACGATCATAGAGTCTCACCTCCCCAGTTCTCAACGCACACAGAGTAGGGTTATCAGGCCTTCTAGTGCCCAACGGGTGTATTCCCCTCATAGCACGCTCGGCCTCATTGGGAGGCACTCCAAACTCAATCAGGTCTTCAAAGTACAAGAACGCCAAATCTGCCGGTGACTCAACGCCCATATACTCCAACATCCTGGTAGTAGCACGACTAACTTCCCTTTCATCCAGAAACTCATACAAGTCGCGCTCCTCCAGGTTCATCTGCTGAGCATTGGTAGTGTTACTACCCACTGGATCCCAGCCAACTATCTGAGCAGCAGTATCTTCCTGAAGGTCAGACATAATGTCCACACCTATTGCCTGGGAAGTCTCCTCCTGATGTTCCGACTCATCATCTCTCTCATGTGGCGAGACAGCCTTAACTTCAATTGAGACCTCCGGGGAAGCCTGTGCAGGAAAACCCAACGCCTCAAGCATGGACTTATCAGGAGGACTAAGCTTACTCGAACCAAGGGGTGAGTATGCGACCAAAAGCACATCAGGAGTTCTTCGCAGCGCATGCCTTCTTCGAGGGTCAAAAACCACAGGACTACCGGACAACCTTCGTGTCTCATGCTCATCCCAGTGTGGCTCCAAAGGTATAATTCTTTTGTCTTCAGAGGGATCAACCCACAACTCAACAGAGCCCGGGATGCACACCACAGCATTTCTTGAGTTCCATTCATTACGGAAGTCGCGATGCATATCAATGTTTCCCGCATGGGTCACCATCAGGGAAGTCCAATTGAGGTCTTCACAGGTGCCCCTTTCATGGAGTGCAGACCTTAGATACTGGTTCAAGAACCTCGTTAGCCAAGGAAACTTAGAGGCATACCTAGTTATTCCCCGGTTACCTCCATGGCAATAAGCACCAAAGACTGCTCGGCCATTGAAGTCACCCCGTCTATCCTGAACTTGGCCTGTACCCTCAAGACACCAGGAAGTCAACTTTCTGAACATAGCATCGGTGAACTCCTGGGATCGGAGTGCCTCATATGCTTGGACCTCAACCGGCGAATCACTCACCTCCACGAACCTAATTGCGGTCTTTGTACGGAGTCGTCTGGAAGGTGGTATTGGATCTTCCTGGTCTACCGGGTCACCTTGGAGAGGTGGTGGACGTGCATTTTCAAGACACTCAGGATCCACAGTATTAGCCCGGAAACCCTTTGATGCAACCAAATTTCCGTCTGAGGTCAAAAGCACATGACCCTCAGGAATAACAGAGTGCGGACACATGTACCTGGTCTTAACCCAACGGGACATCAAGTCGTTGAGACCTCCACGTGGCTTCTTCAGACGATGAAGAACGTCCTGACCAAACATCGGGATTGGTGCACGGCCTAGAACACTCCTGTTGTGGGATTCCGCAGCCCAGCGGGCCGCTAGAGGCCAGTAATGAACACTGACTCCCGCAGAGCCAATCAGTGTTCTTGACCTTGCCTTCACCCAAGCGACTGTGCGCTCAGCAAGTCCATTTGCTTGCTTATCAGCCGGCAGTGAATGCTGCAATCTCACAGAGTTACTAGTCAACCACTGCGACAACTTAGTCGACAAGAATTCAGTACCCAAGTCGCAATGCACAATCCTAACTGGGTAGAGCTTATTGATCTCTAGCACCATTTTCTGGATTGCCTCGGCTACATCCGCACCCGATTTGGATCTCAGCTCTCCGAAGTACCGAAGCACGACTTGCTCGGTAGGCTGCGATAGCTCTTCAACCAACCGTTCAAACTCAACCTTATCCTCCGGGACCGGTTCATCCCAACCTTCAAGAAACGGAACCACCCCTTCTTGGTCGGACCGCTGGTTGGAGTCATGCGGACCTCCATCCAGATCCACAGGCTCACTTCCATTCACGGCGTAAACTGAAGAGGACAACAACTGCTCCTGCAAGTCTTCCTCGTTGTCCCTCCAGTCCTCATCTAGATCCCACAAATCAGGAAACTCCTCATGGGGTTCCCGGCCTGGAATCGAAGGCTCGTACTCACTCAACTCATTTCGCACTGGGGGTGATGGGTCTAAACCGTAGAGGTCTGAGGTGGCTGTGGGATCTGACCTAGATGGTGCTCCTGGCAGTGCTGAGCGCGGAACTCTGAACGCCCCAACTAGGCCGTATTTAACATGAGGAATCCCAGAAACAGAACCTTCGGTACGACCCTGTTCTTTAGGGGAAAGTGGGCCGAAGAGGTCAATCGATAATGTGTAGCTTTGAGGAAACCTTATGCGTCTGTGCTGAATACCTAAGCCAGCGCCCTCTATGCATCTCTGGCAATCCCTCCTAAACGGTACATGGCCGTTCTCCAGGTGAGCCCTCCATCCTGATAGTCCTGCTCCTCCTCAGAAGAAGAAAGTACACTCTCCTCCTCAAAGGCCCGCAACAGCCTTTCTTCTTCATCATCAAGGTGTGCCACTTCCCTCGACACCCTTAAACCCTTTGAAATAATCTCATCAAGAACCTCACATGAAGGAATTCGTCGGCGACCCTCTAAAGCCCGAACAACTTGCATTCTCATCGTCCTCGTCCACATTCGGACTCCATCATCACCTCTGCACACAGGCTCGAAGGATTCCTCGGGCTCCCAAACAAGATTCGTTGCGACACAGTTCCTCACCTTGTCACACTCATCCTGTGGAAGAGCACATGAAACCCTCCTAACTCCAGACCACTCCTCAAAGGACATCCAAGTTCTGGACCTGAAAGGATCTAAGGAAGCCCTAACATCCACACTTGAGGGCGGAAGCCACAATTCCTTCACATAGGGAATCCCATGTCCCTTTGCAATAGAGGCAACCGACCAAAGGAACATCCCTTGCACTAGCAGGGTCAACTCGCGGAAGGCCCGAGGTTGTGCCAACGCCTGAGAGCACATCCATGCAACATCATCCCTAGGCTCAACCATAGCTTCGGCCTCCACTTCCTTTGCACACATGGAGAGAGGCGGTGACGATAATAGCGCAGCAATCCTTCCCGACGCGGAGGACCCGAGCACAGGTGGACTAACCAACGCGTTGAACCCAGCAAGGCCCTGCGTCTCGAACGGTTCACAGGCAATCCCTTAAGGACCTCCTTACCTCCTTTTTCATCAAGGTTGGGAATTCCTTCGGCCAACAACGCCTTAACGCTGTCAGGGATATCCTTAAGGTAGGGTTGAGCCATAAGAGCCTGAAGGACACTTGCCCTACTGCCCGAACGTATCAAACCCTTAATCGCCTGAGAGGGGTCTAGTGGCTTCTGAACCTCCTTTAACCTGCATTCCAAATTCTGCACCTGGGACTGGAGCTCTTGCAACCTTGTTTCCTCCAACTGTCTTATCAACTCTACTGCCTGGCACTCTTGCACGTAGGGGCATGAGTTTCGTGAAATGCCCGTCTTCAACAATCCCATCGTGGGGTGGAAAACCTTTAGTCCCTTCCGCTTACTCCAACTGATGGAGCAACCAAGGGTTTGGACTAACCCTCCCAACGGCAAGATAGTTTGAGGCAAAGGTTGCCCGTCCTCACCAGACACAGGTGGCACGACAAGGGTGCCCCCTGGTGTTCTCAGCCATTCGTCTTTCGAATCACCCGCCAGGGTCACAGGCACCTTCTCAAGAGTACCAAGTCCCCTTCTGAAGGGAACCACAGCGTGTGTCGCCCCGGAATCCAACAAGGCTTCTGCCCTTTCCAAAGGATTCGGAATCTGAACCTCCTCAACTCTGAACATCCTAATTTCATGCTCCCTTGCCATAGAGCGTATACTCTCTAGTTGGGCGCTTAGGGATGCCAAGGTAACCGGGGTTCCCTGGGATACCGGAACGGACGGCGACTCAGCTGCTCCTCCTGGGACTGAGGTTGGGTAGTTTGCTGTGGCATTGTTTGCTGGAGGATCATTGCCGCGTCCGCCAGCATAGACTTTATCTGCTGGTTGCTCATGTTGCTATTGGTCGTAGGCACTGGCGGAGGCGTAGGCACTTGAGCACCCTTGGCACTAGAGGAACCCTTTGCCGCACCTTTACCTTGGCCCTTTGCCTCATCAGGCTTAAGACCCGCCTTGCAATCAACGGAACGATGACCCTTCGCTCCACAGGTCCTGCACCGCTGAGGTCGGTCAGCGATCGGGATTGCGCTCCAGTCATGGGTGTAAGTGCAATCAGCTCCCTTCTTACAACCAGATTGGCTCAGATAAAAACTGCATGGTGGCTTAGCACCCGGGGTCCCTTGAGCGGGAACCTGTATAGGTTGTCCTGAAGGAACTGATTTCGCAGGCGGCGGGCCCTTCGGAGGCTTCCCAGGCTTCGGTGGGACTGGGGGATTAGGCGTGGCTTGGGTCTCTACTCCCTTTATCTTAGGAACCACCCCAGGCTGTCCATCTCTTCCCTTGTCCTTATCCTGGTCCCTTTCCTTAGGGGCCCTATGATTAACCGCCTCTAACTCACTTAACAGTTGCGCATGCAGTTTATTCACCTTCTCATCATCAGGATTCACATCTACCTGGAGGGTATGCCTAGAGAGGTTTATGCGGAACGCAATCTCAGGCTGGGATTGCATGACGTTCTTGGTTATTCTCGTCAGTGCACGTATCTGAAGAGAAGGATCCGGCAACGTTCCACCCAGCTCTGTCATCCTCAGGCACCACCGCTTCCACTTACGCAAACCTTCAATTGCTTCCGCCACACTCGAACAGGGTGGAGGATCCTGGAGGTGCTTCAGGCCTAACTCGCGTTCGCTAAGAGAGCCCGGAGCGTATATCACAAACAGTTTGCAGATCAAGGCCAGTAATCCGCTTACTCTCGCTGCGCTCACCTCTTCCTTCACAGAGCTAGGCATAGCAGCTAGCACCATCGTTTCTATCCGCCTTGAGACCCTGGTCCACTTAGGCCTCATCAAGTGATCGGAGGGCTTTGGGGTTGACACTAGTCGGCTTAGGGATCTAACTTCAAGTACGCGGCATACCAGGTGTTAGCTTCCTTCAAAGTGCATTCCCATAGCTCCTCACTCGAATCTGACACATCAGACAGCGGCGGTTTGGAGTTGTGGATCCAGTCTGAGAACAAGAGACAGCTCTCAGGTCCTGCTGCCGGGAGTTCTGGGAGACTCGTTACCCCAGGCTTGATAACTTCCGGCTTCTCAGTTTGCTTGGGTGAACTCGCAATTTCCGTCATCAGTCCTTGAAGCTGCGCCATTCCAGTCAGCACTACGCTAAGAGGATCTAAACCATTAGGGTCATTCAAAGGGGAGGCTGCCTTAGGGTTAACCCTACTCCCGTTAAGATCACCATTAGACCCACCTGGACCTCCTGATGCCGTTGGCTCTCCAGCACACGCAGTTGGACCTTGGTCCATGCCGTGGTGCACATTCCATTGACCTGTGATGGCAGCAAGGCTTGAGAGGGCAGCGCTTGGGTTGGCCATTTAGGTCCTAGGGGTAGAGGCATTAAGGGCTTACCCACAGCCGGTCTAGGACCCTCCTCTACGGTAACTGAAGAACTCTTCGGATGTTCTGGTGGCATAGCTTCTAGCATAGGAGGCTGATCATTAGGGTTCCTGGGAATAGGGGGTCGTGTAAATTCGTAACCTTGTACCACATGGTGGGGTTCCTTAGGTATGGGGTATCTCGACTCATACCCGGGAGGAACTGCGGCCTGAAAGGTAACTCCCAAGTCCAGAGAGGGAGGATGCAGCGGAGCCCGATGATCCACAAGGTTCTGACCGGAGGCCCTAAAATCCACGTTGGGACCAGAGGTCGAGGAAGCTCCCACACCCATCATAGACCCTAAACCTTTTCCTAACCACCCAAATCCAGGGAAACTCCTCTGATTCACTGGGGGACGTGCCCCATGCAAATCCTGTTGATCAGCTACCTCTACACGCTGCCTAAGATTCCTATTCTCAGCAGCTAACTGGTTCACCTGTGCACGGAGCCTCCGGCTCTCGTCTTCATGAACTGCCATCATTTCACTCAGTTGACGTCTCACCTCAGCCTGAATGTCACTCGACGTAACAGACGAAGGTCGGGCAAGTTCGTGCCCTGGTCGTCCTGTATCTGTAGGATACAAGTGTTGCGCCGCAACCGACATCTGATTCAGTCTGGTCAACACCTGCTCGTCGAACAACGGCGTAGCCGGTACCTGAGTCTCAGGCGGAGGGTCACGGCGACCCTCCAAGCTCGCTGAAGATCTAACTGAGGCATACTCAACCACGTCATGAGCAGCTGGTGAAGCTTCCGCCACTGCAGGGTTGCCGCCATTGACAATCCCCTCCACCGCAGTGAGTATAGCCTGCACAGCCTTCATCATCCCTGTAAAGAACCCAGAGGTCCTGCCACGAACCCCTTGTCTCCGCTCTTGAGAATCTGAGACCATCACCCTGGTCCTCACAATCTGCTCCACAGACTCATAGGCTTCATTCTCCGTCAATCTTTGACCAACACCGGAAGCAAGCTCAGGCTCCACTCTCGAAGATACACCCCGAGAAGATGCTTGAGGCTGACTGCCTCTTGTAGGTTCGGGGGCCACCGTTTCGCCATCCATGCTGTGCGAAGTCGGCTGTCCCGATACCCCATTCACCATCCGAGCTTGCCCAGTGCCACTGGCAGCCGAGACTGCGCTGGTAGCGTTTGGGCGACTCATAACCTGTTGATCATGAGGTAGGTCGTACACATTCGGGTTGTCATCAGTTGCAGGGGAGGCCATGCTTATCTTCACTGTATCGTTCCAATTCAGGAGAAGGTCAGCACGGCCATTGCACTTCCGACGTGAATCTTTTCACACTGCGGCACGACAAACATCTGCACCTTTGTGTTATGGCTTCATGCTATCTGTACTAGCGGCGATGCCACATAAGGTTACATGCAACTGTAGTCCAAACTTGACTACATACATGGAGCTCAGCTCCATGTTCGAGCCTTCAAGGCTTTCACTCACAAAGTAAGGCAAAGCTACCCCGACCCTCATACACAAATCGGTCAGGGGAGAACCACAGGGTACTATAATGCAGGGGCCTTACTAATTACCTATACTCTGTTGGGGGAGATGCTCACAAGCCCCATCGTATCTCCTTTTTGGGATTACCCTATAGGATTCTACATATGAACCCTAAAAAGCTACTACTATGCGGTCTATGGTTAGAGTAACCAACGTACCCCTTGAAAAAGGATATGACCCCACCCATGTCTTGTCACCTTTTTTTTCTCAGGTAGCTTGGTTGCTCTAGGTATCCTAAGGCTTAGTCCAAAGCTTCGGTGCTTAATGTCGCTGTGAAATATCCAATGCCTTTCAGAACCCTCTAGGCACCCGTATCTAACAATAAAGCCTTAAACCCCCTTCTATCCTCACTCCCATCGACTCTCACCCAGAACCCTTATAAACCCTATAGACCCCTGCTAGAACCCTTCTAGAGTCAGGGCATCCCTTCGACGACGTCGCACTGGAGAAGCTGCGAGAAACGCTCCGACAGGACTGGTAGCTTAGGGATGAGAGGGGTTCAGGGTTTCAGGGTTTGGTGCTTTCGTGGTTAGGGGTTCAGGGTGTCAGGGTTCGGTACTTTAGTGGTTAGGGGTTTTGGTTTTGAGTTGGAGGTTTGGCAGTTTGGTGGTTGGGGGTTTAGAGCTTGGGAGTTTGGGGCGGAGCGGTGTATTGTTGGGGGGTTCCGGGTTGAGAGGGTTTGGGTTGGTTCGGGGTACACTGGTGAAGGGTTTCGGGTTTCAGGGGTGTGTTTAGGGTTTAGGGCTGGCAACACTCTGATCTGGCAGTGTTTGGAGCGGAGGGCGCGGCTTCAAATTTCCAGGCTGTCAAGCGATCTACAAAGGGACTAATTAAACCCTAAACACTAAACCACAAAGGGATCTATAGGGGATCCTTATGGCCGAGTGCCTTTAAATCCTCGGGCCCTAATCATGGTGTGCTGAAAGCCGTGCCGGGGCAGGATGCGCCGGAGTGCAAGGATGTTCCAGACGCCGCAAGCTTAGTTGTGACCGTCTGTTTCAGTTCAGGCTCCTGGTCGGTTGTTAGGTTTAAGGCTTGTCTACATTAAGAACTGTACATCTGCAGAACGATAGGCGACAACAGCCATCAGAGTCGCAGCGCGACTACCAGAAGGGGACACTCGCGCCTATAGAAACCCTTGCCATAACCCCAAGCAACCTAAGCACAAGTGCTTTTTTAAGGACTCATATTATATAAGGCAGTCTCACTAGGGAGCCATGAAAACTGTGGGTTTTATAAGGTCCTGGTGAAGCCACAAAGCCTGGACCAACGAAGCTGCAGATCCTTTGCCCATCTTAGCCCCAGAGCACAGAGCTCTGAGAGTTTAGGATTTCAGCCTCTGCACTTCAAGAAGGCATCTCGACCTTTGAGCCCTGAACCCCTATGGTTTGATCAACAAGAAAACTACCTACGCTGTTTGGGGGGATCCCCGTATTATGATTATAGTATATTGGGCCCCAAGACCCGATTCCAATTATTAAGGCCCTACATTGCGATAGGGTTGTATTGAAATAGACGTATATACAGTGAAGATATCTGTATAGGGTACGATCCCAAATGGGTCCAAGGGTACCTATAATATTGTAGAACGCAGGGTTTCTACTAAGTTTCTATACTTGGAATTACTATTATGATTTGGGGACGTACCCCCCATAGCAGAACCCCGGACCCTTTGGGGATGGCTAATGGCTCAGACCTGCGGCCTCCAAGATCCATCCCTGAGCCCCAGGTCCTGAGGCTAAGGTTAGCCCCAATCCTGAAATCTTCATAGGGATCCTTAAGGGTGTAGGGGGAGGGTGGGTAGGGGGCCTTAAGGCCCATAATAAGGATTAATAAGGCCTATTTAAGGAAATATAGTCCTCTACACCCCTCCCCCCTACACCCCTAAGGATCCCTATGAAATCTCCAAGTCCGGAACCAGAGCCCTGAACACCAAACCCGAAAACCTCAAAACCCTATCGTGAGCCTCAGAAAGTTGGAACATAGATTAGGGATGATTCGCGACTGCATTTCGTTTCCTGTGCCGCAAAGGTATCAGGATAATGATGTTCCAACTTTCTGGCTTCTACTGTAAGCCCTAAACTACACCCTAAACACCTTTTAAGCCCTAAACCCCTAAACCCCTTAAGACCCTAAGCCCCAAAAACCCAGGGCACCTAACAGCCTTGGGTCCTTGGGTCGAACGCCCTTGGCTTCGCCAAGGCCATCCTGAGGAAATGCCTAGCCTCTTGGCGGCGAGCAGGGAGATCCTGATCGCAGAGACTCCACTATCCCTCAATTACTATAAGGGCTACTACAAGGGATCTATAAGTCTATAAGGGTACATATTGTTCCTTAAGGTGCCTTCTTTTGAATATACTGTTACCCTAAGGGTCCGTGCACCCAAGTAGTATATGCTTTGGGCCCAATGTACTTATACAGGGACTACTTTGAGGCCAATGTATATGCCATTTGGGTACATGGACCCTTAGGGTTAATTACCTAGACCCACCAAAAGTATGTAAAACAATGGCCCAACACCCCTAAAAGGCTATTATTCCACATACTTTGGGGGTCCAGGTAAGGGATCCATAGGGTTTTGGGTTTAGGGGAATCCAACATCCCTTAATTCAGGAATGTACCTTAAGTCATATTAGTGATCCTACTCCAACTTACGATTTATTCCTTCATCAAGGGATATTGTTGTCTCTGGAACACCAGGGCCTGTTCAGTGCAAGATGCTTGTCAAGTTGCGTAACGAATATAGGGGGTCTGAGCACTTTTGTTATTTTCCTTGCGGCTCACGAAACCTCTGAAGGTACTGAGGCCTCTGCGACGGAGTTTTGACTGATACCCTAAATCCGCCCCCTAAACCCTAAACCCGCCTAAGCCCACCATAACCCTATAACCTCGAGAAAGGCTGCTGGACTCAATGCCTTTGCTGATGAGCTCGTGATCCCAGAGATCCCTTAGAAGCTGCCCCCACCCTGTAATACTTGAAGGATCATGGGACTTAGTAAGTAGGTTATAATTGGGGTTATAAGTCCCCTAAGTGGGGTTATCCTAATTATAACCTACTTATAACCTTACTTACTAAGTCCCATGAGCCTTTAAGTAGTGATTACAAGGATTATATTGGGGCCCGATGATATTCCTATGATACCACTATTACAGGGTGCGGGCCCCGTCTAAGAGATCCCCATACCCCTCTAGGATGCCCAGTAGTACCCTTGTTCCCTTTTTGTATTCCCAGGTTCCGTATCAAGTTACCCAATACCAAAGCATCCTAGCCCTTAGTTAAGGAATATACCTTAAAACAGAAGATGAAGCCCCCTATAAGTTTAAGGTCTATTCCTTAATTAAGGGATATTGGGTTCTCTTGACTGTCGGTTCTAGCATAGGAGCCGAAATAATTACCAACACTCTGTTGTGGGGTTAAGGTAGTATAATTAGCATACCCCCCCAAACCCTAGTCGGTTCTGGGGCTTTACAGTGGGGCGTTTGCTTAGGGTGTGGGGTTTGGGGTTGAGGGCCTTCATCGTGGTTGCTAGGCTAACACCGGACTCGCTGCATTTTGTGACATGGGTCCACGAGAGGTGAGACCGGTTCAGGGTTCAGGGGTTAGAGTTTAGGGTATAAGTAGGGTCTAAGTGCAAGTTTAGGATTTCTTAGCATGGTGGCCTTGACATCCCGCGGCTGACAACTCAAACCTTCAGCTTCCGTCCTGAAATCTTTGCATGCAAAAGCCATCTTGATTGGGCTGGAAGTCTGGAATCGCAGTGCTGCAAGTGGAATGAGCGTTTGTGTTCCACACAGTTAAAGCTAAGGCAGTATCGAAGAATCTGACCCTACCTGGAGTCCTGGAGAAGTGCGGGCCAAGCCCGTCTTAGCAGTCACGGTGTCAGGCCCTATATGGGAGTTTCCGAAATTTGGGGGTACCAGATTTTGGGGTCCTTATCATAAGGGTCCTACTATAAATGGGCCGTATAATAAGGGTCCTACTATTTAAGGTACTCTATTAGGATCCCCTATTTTCGGAAACCCCCATACAGTGGGTGTTTCTGAAAATAGGGGACCCTAATATAGTAATTACTCTAGATAGTAGGATCCTTTTTGTAAGGACCGCAAAATAAGGTACCCCCTATTTTCGGAAACCCCCATAAAGGGAACTCCAGAAAGTTGGAATATGGATTAATGGTAGGATCCCCTACAACTTACCTTAAAGGGGTTACGATAATGATATTCCAACTTTCTGGCTTCTACCCTAAACCCTAAACCCTAAACCGTGTACAGTGGGTCAGATCAGGGTTCCAAGCCTTGAGCTGTACATCCGAGAACCCGGTAACCATGACTTACTCAGGGGACAAGGAGGGACCCTTAATGGGGACCCTACCCAATAATGTCCCAAAAAAAAGGTATATACTAGCTATATTAAGGATATATACCTAGGGGTCCTTATTAAGGTTCCCTTCTTTTACCCTTGGACTTACGGTCTACCCATAGTAGTTCCTTTTTGGGATTACCTTCTAGGATTCTCAATATGAGCCACAAAAAGGAACTACTATGGGGCCTTAGGGTTAAACCCTGAGCCCGAATCCTTGAACCCGAAGCCGCATCATAGAGAGCTTACATTGTAAGCCCTGAGCCCGAAAAGCTGAGCCCCGCTTCTCCTAACCTCCACAGGCTTTTCAAGACGGTCACGTCGAAAAGGCCGCATCTACTGCAGCTGGATTCTTCAATTTTCGATCTCAAGCGAGGCCATCGGCGAAGTGAGTAACTTAGTAACTGTAAAACGAACAGCTACTTTATGGTTGGGGTTTGGGGTTGAAGTGCAGGCTTTATTCCATCTTATTCCGGGAGTGTGCCGCAAGCCTTCGGATGGTTGTAGGGTCGACGGTGAGTCAGGGTGTGACGTTCTGGGCTTCTAACGGGAGAAAGTCATATTGGTCATTCATTGTCTCTTGAAATGAAACGGCCTTGTCTGCTACACCAACCCAAGACTAATTAATCCATTCCTCCAGTGCATGTTTGTCAAGGAAGCCAGCAGCAGCGAAAAAAACGAAGCCTGCCACATTTCCTGTTTCTTAGTGACGAATCGACGAGCTTCCGCTTCATTGACGTCGTTAGGTCGCCCACACCGGAAAGGCCACAACTCGTGGCTTTCCAGGATTCGCAGGAATACGTGATGGGATTGCATCTTGTGCTTCCTGGTGTGATGTAGTTACAATGCGCAGTTTGAGCTTAGACTATACTTGACCCGATCATCGTAATAAATCAAGTCAATTTGGTATCCGGCAAGTACGCCCTAAACCCTAAGCACCGTAAAGACGATCTCACTTAGGAGGTAAGGTGTTGATGAGAAGTTTAACTCGTCTCGGAGAGGGATCGGAAATGGAAGTCTTGCACCATGTTTTCAGTTGTGATAGTATGTAGATCATCTTGCATATTCATATTCGTGTTCATACTAAAACATTAAATATGTATACGTGGTTGGTATGATATAAATGACCGTCTTCAAGATCATTGACATCTCCTGCCATGGGAGCTTGTTGCACTTCATCTTCCACACCCCGCTGGCTTCGTGAGAACGAGGCCTCTTCTGCAGACTGGCCCAGTTCTTCCTCGGAGCAGCTGCGCGCTTTGCAGGCGAAACTGGCAAAAGTGGGGAAGGGAAGAGGACATGGGCCTGATGAGAGGCTCGTCGAGGTTTTTGGCCGCAAGATTGAGGGCTGGGACGCTGCCAAGGACGGAGTGTGCTGAAATTCATCGAAACGCATGTGCGTCAGAGTTGCGAAGGCAAGACACAGTATCTTTGAAGTGCCGCGTGGCAAGGCTAGGGGGAAGCAGCAACAGCAGCAGGATTCCCAGACGTTGTTCTTTATTTTGTATGTGTTTGTCGGATTTCGGATTTTCGGACCCTGCTGATTGTCTTCGCGAGCCCAAAAAACGCAAGCATCATCCCACTGCCAGGACGTGAGCCTGCATGTGAGCTTCACCCGGAGCCTGGAGGAGGCCCTCCCAAAGAACAGTGCCATTGAAGGTGCGCTTCGTCGAGAAATCGTGGGCGTGTCAGCGGTGTTGCCGTTGGATAGAGGGAAGAAAATTCATGGCACTAGATGACCCAGGTGGATAGGTCCAGCTTCAGACATCGAGTTCGTTTTGATCTGCTTTCTTGCTTGTCTGTCAAGATCACCCCCCCTACACCCTAAACCCCTACACCCTAAATCCTAAACCGTAGGTTTAGGGTTTAGGGTTTAGCCTTCTGACCGCCAGGAGCTCCCCCTGCTTCGAGGCTCCAACGGCTGTAGGTAACCTTTAGTTCCTTTTTTGGGTAGTATAGTCCATATATAATCCCTATATCGCCAAAAAAGGTTAAGCTTTAGTTCCCCATGATACCCGACAGGTAGGCCTGATACTGCATACTCTAGCTTGTCTGTTGTCCCCGTTTCTCGTTCTTCTTGTGCTTTGCTGTGCCTCACATCTTTCAGGCCGTTTGTTCACTGTTGTCGTGTTCCCACATCATTCTGACCATATGACCATCGTCCCTTGTTTCTTCTTTGCTTAAAGGGCCATGGGACTTAGTAACTAGGGTTATAATTATGGTAACTATACTTATAGTTACTTAGACTTATGACCCCAATTAAGATTAAGGTGCTTATAACCTTACTAAGTCCCATGATCCTCCAAGTGGGCTTGCTGCAGGCCAACGCTCCGAGCTCCTCCAACAGCTGCTGCAGCTCTTGCCGCCCGTCGTCGAGGACGATGTCCGAGTTTTTGCATGCGCCACCGCGCTTGGCGCGGCGAAGATTCGCAACAAGCTCTGCGGCTTGGCACAGAGAAGCTTAGGTCCAAAACCTGACTTTCCAACTTTTCTGGCTCTTATGAGGTAGTCTTGTTCTGAAAGTTTGAACTTTTCAACCCGTACGCGTTTGGGAAGTAAGGAAGGCATCGCACGGCCTTTTGGGTTGTTTGGGTTGGGAGCGATTGAAAGAGGTGAAGCAGAAGAGAGTTAGTCATACATGGCCGTAGACAGCCGTAGATATGTATTTGCATGTATTTGTGCGGGTGTGATTGGGGTGTCGACGTCGGGGATGTGGACTCAGGTAGTGAGCAAGGAGGAAGTTGGAGATGGGACAGCGATATGCCGTTCGAGATGGTGGCTAGGTTCCCCAGTAGTACCCTTTTGCCTTTTTTCTATTTACTCTTTGGCTCTTTGGGATCCCTTACTAGAACCGAAGAGTCGGAAGCATGGTACCCTCATTCTGAAGGGGCTACTGGGGAACGTAGGTGGTGGGTGATGCCGTGGTCAATCCCGCAGACGGTCTCGTCTTGGTGCGCTCCGGGTGGCTCGCAAAAGGCGTGGTCTACCGGGAGCGTGGACATGACGAGCAAGGCTTCGACATCATTCGTAAGCTGGCCCGGCGTTAGGTTTTGCTTTTCTATTCTCATCCCGAAGAGAAACACAAAAGGAACTAGTGACACACGCCTTCTAAGTGCTCGATTCTTTTGGTTCAAGGAGGGAAACAGAGAAGGACAACAGATAATTTCGCCGCGTTGTTGAGAACCGGCTATGGTACAAAGATGATTATGGTGCTGGGCCTTAAATTAAATGCAAAGCTGAGGTATCCAGTTGAAGACGCACAAGGCTTTGAAGGAGACTTATGTATTCTCGATCAACCTCGGCTCCGATATGTTCAAAGATGTGTCCTGAGCAAAAGTTAAGTCGTGCGAGCAGCGGCCCATTTAGACCGCTGCTGGGCTTGTGTCTCACCTGACGTGGATGGTTCCCTCAACGCCCGGAAACAGGTTGCGAGAGTTGGCTGGATGCAATGTGGAAGTTTTTTGCCACCGATTTGGATGCTTTGCTCGTTGAGGAGACATGGAGGGCTTTATAGTCAGTTCAGAAGGCCTCATGTCTCACCGCTCATCTCACTCGCTCACGATGCAGCCCTCTTCTTTCCTTCGGTTTGGACGACGTGTCCGCTGGAAGACATGTCCTGTGTCATGGATCAAGTTTTATCAGGTTAGCTCTACATTCGAGCCAATCTATTGGCCACTAGACGGATGAAATTTCTCGACTTCCCGCCGTTCAGTTGTTTAGCGCCAGCTTGACCTTCTTCGGAGAGGTTGCACTCGTCCTCTTCTGTCATCCTGCCATATCATTTACCATAACACCCTAAATCCCTGAACCCTGAAATCCTCAAGCAGTATATATCTCAGCTTCCGCGACTTGTGCAATCGTGTCCTTGAAAGCCGAATTCAAACTCGTTCCCAAGAAGCCGCAGGTGCAAGTGCACTCGAACACTCCTTTCGCAGCACACAATTTCATCACCCAATGGTCTAATCGTACCTCCCCTTACGTTCAGGACTTTGGGTTTCATAGGGTTCGGGGTACCGATGCTTTTTGACACTAAACCCAAAACCGTGGGTTTCATAGGGTTCAGGGTACCCTTACTTTCGAGCGACATGTCTGAAGCCCACACAGCTCACACTTTTCTCTCAATCCTCGCCACCTCATGAGCCCCAACACTATAAACCAAAACCCTTAAAAGAACTTCTTATGGGGTTTAGCGGTGTAGGGCTTAGGGAGTCCCTCACCAGAAACTGCTGAAAGCCTGAAAAAATCCTCGTAGACAGCCCTAAGCACCACAGCCCTTGAAACCTTAAAGGCCTCGTATATGGAAAGCTGTCAGGGCGACCCTCTACCACAGAATCCCCCAAAACCCGAAAGCCCTAGAGCCTAAAACCTTAAATCCCTAAACCCTGAAACCCCAAAACCCTAAAGCCCTAAAACCCTAAAACCTTGAATCCCTAAACCCTGAAGCCCCAAAGCCCTAAACCCCCGGAGGTGGGCGATGCGCATCCCCGCCAGCGAGGTGAGCCGAGCCCTGAAAACGGGACTACACTGGCTCCTGCCAGGAAAGAAGGCCAGAGGTTAGGGCTTAGGGTTTACCCATAGGCACCAAAATAGTTCCTTTTTGGGGTTCATATTTAGAATACTATAGGCCCCCAAAAGTAGATAAAATAATAGCCCAAACCTAAAAAAGTTCTGCATACTTTTGGGGTCCAGGTAATAGGGTTAGGGCTTAGAGTGCTTTAGAAGGCTTCCTTTAAGAGTTGGTTCTTTAGGTCCTTAAGGCTTTATTAGGGTTTAGGGGCTTAGGGTTCAATAAGATTTGTAGGGCTTAGGGTGTTTAGGGCTTGACAGGGTTTAGTTTATGGCTTAGGGTTTAACAGGGCTTAGAGTTTAGGGCTTAGGGTTTAGGGTTCAATGTCAAGAGATAAGGGTGCTCCGAAAGGCTTCCCCTAGGCCCTAAGGGTTCCTTAGATCCTTTAAGGCTTTTGATAATACAAGGGTCCTTTATCAGGCTTTGTGTTAAGCGTTCCTTAGGACTTTAAGGGTCCTTTACGGCTTTCAGGCTTCCTTTCAGGGTGTCTTTCAGGACTGCTTCAAAGGGAAAAAGGCCAGGAATCATGAAGGCCTGGGTGTGTTTAGGGTTTAGGGTTCCGAGAGGAGCACGATTGGCACTCTTGCCGGAGGCCTTGCATGGGCAAGCTCGGCAGATGGAGGCAAACATAGCCAGCTGCCTTCAGCATTGCATTGGGTATCCGATCGCCCGGGAAGTGGAGCATTGGCGCACTGCTGGTCACCCACTCATCGGCAGCTGCAGCCGCAGCCCAATGCTGAAGGCGATCATGGACAGCCGAGCGCTGCCCACTGGCACCCTCACACTCGAGGGCGAGCTTGTGGATCGACTGAGACAATGACAAGTCCTCGCACAGCTCGGCCTGAATAACCTCGCAGGTTCGGGGTTAAGGGTTCAGGGCTTATGGATTACATAGGGCTTTAGGGTATTAGGGTTCAGGGTTATGGGGTTTGGGGGCTTTTCGGGGTCTAGCGTTGTAGGGTTAAGGCCTTTAGGGCTTGGGTGTTCGGACATTGGTGGTTTGAATATTTCAAGGTTTGCGGCTTCAAGTTTTCCACTGGAAGCTGATGGCTTTTTCGTCAAGGGTTCTGCTAGTACGGGTCCGATTGCTCCTGTATTTATGCAGGGCCTCTTTGTAGCCCTTCGGGAGGATCCAAAAAAGTAGATGCCTTAATGGGGGGTGCCTATAAAGCACCCTCAGTAGTATAGCATAGGGCCCCGAATTAGGGGATCTACTTTCTAGATCCTTCCGGGGGTCTGGGTTGTAATTGGTTTGCTTTCATGGTTCGTATGTTCATGACCCTCCTTTTAGGATCTACATGCGGGGAGAAGGCGGCCCATTGCACAAAGTATGATCTGTATCCCAGAAGATGGGGTAATGCAGCAGGGGTCTTGTATTCAGGATCCTACTATCGCGGTTAAGGGTTCGTCGTCCTGACTTCCCGGTTCTCGTGCTACTCCTTGTGATTCGCATTCTTCAGAGTATTAGGACAGGATGTATCATTAAGGGTTTCGGGGCATTCCAAAGGCCCTTCAACATTCTTCCGAGAAGCCTAACGGCCTACGCCATGTCTGATGCTGCCACCCCTCATCCGAAAGCCAGAGACGTGGACAACCTCATGGTAGCAGATTCGGCTTCCTTCTTAACAGGTGGATCTGAAAAGCTTGGGCTGCCCCAAACTGTGGAACTTGAGGCCTAGAATACAACACAATACAGCTTAAATCCTAAACTCCGAGCTTGATTGTACATGCCTTGACCTCATCTCCTCAACCCGAAGCCCCCATATCCTCGGTACACGGCCTGTCAGCACCTTCGTGTGCATCCCCTGAGGACTCCAAAGACCCCAATGAGTTTGCAGCTGCATGCTTGGTCTTCAACATGGCGCCTCGTGTGCAAGTTCTATGCTTAGGGCTTACGTACAGGAATTGAGCTTTGGGTGATGTGGGGTAGTCCTTGCTGCCTTATCAAAATGGGCTATTGCGGCATATTATAGTGGCATTCTGACCAGGAGCCCTAAGCATCAGTATCACGAGTTGTTGCCGCTTCTACACCATGTGTCGGCGTTCATGAATCGGGTGTGGTTCAGGTTGGGCTTTGAAGTTCGGGGTGCAAGCGTGGACCATCCTTTGACCATCGGTGCGCAGGAATTTGGGGTAATATCGGGTTCGGAATAATTTGTAGCAGTATCCCTTTATAGCCCAGTCCCTGTATAATTACACCATAATGGACCCAAAAGTCGAATTTCCAAATATTGAGGCACTTGCTAGACTCCCAAGCCGGAGGTCAGCTGTGGTGGGCACCATAAAGAGAACCCACAAGGTTTCGGGTTTAGGGGTTTAATGGTTTAGGGTTTCGGGGTTTAGGGTTTAGGGTTGTAGGGTTTAGGGGTTTAGGGTTTAGTGCTTCGGGGTTGAGTGGTTCATGGACCCGAAGCCCAGAAAGTTCTAAATCAATCCCCAATCGGGATGCGTGAGCTTCACAGCCGCAATCTCCGAGCCGAAACCAACGCAAAGATCCTGCGCACCCCTGAGTCCTCATCCCTTCGTAAGCCTTAAGCTCCCCCAATACCTGGGGCAACCTGAACCCGAGCTTCCCTCGTACTCGACGATAAAGAATTACAAGTCTGTCTGGTATGTGCAAATACATACATTTACACACGCCTAATTATCTAGACGTACTCATGTGTGTATACATACATACGCAGACTAGATCTATATTGATTACCTATGCATGTAAGTATGTGAGTATGTATGTATGTATGTGCGCATGTACGTATGTATGTAGGTAGGTGGGTAGGTAGCTAGGTCCTTAGGTAGGTATGCCTGTGTGTGTATCTGGGTGGTTGTCAAAGTTATGGCCCCTGTTTGAGTTTGGGTACCCTAAATAATTGGTGCCGTACTTTAACAGGCACCCAAAAAGGGACCATAATGTTGACAACCACCCAAATCCGTAGATTCCTAAAGTCCCTCAAAATCAAGAATCCAGAACACTGACCTTATAGAACCCTCATGGAAACCTACTGTCCAAAGGCGAAGTTGGACCCCGATGCATGTCCGATTGAGGAGATGCTTGGCTTTCGTGGCCCTGGGGCTGAGGATGGTGAGGGCTTCGCCATAGGCCCCAAAGTAGTTCCTGTTTGGCATGACTGAATATGAACCCCAAAAAGGAACTACTTTGGGGCCTTAGGGTAGTTTAGAGCTTCGGGTTTAGGGCTTAGGGTTTATGGGCTTAGGCTTTAGAGCTTCGGGTTTTGACGGTTTAAAGTTTAGAGTTTATAAGGAGTTTAGAGTTTAGGGCCTTAGTAGGATTTGGGGAGTTTGAGAGTTTTTGGGTGTGTAGGACGGTTGGGGCTGAAGGTTCGAGGGTTTGGGGCGGGGGTAGCTGTAAACATCAAAAGCCGTGAGAACCCTATCGATATCCAGGATGTGCAGCGCTTTGGCTTCACGTGTTTGGGGTTTTGGCTATAGTTATCCGGTAGGACTGGGTTAGTCGAAATCTAAGGGCAAGACTCAGTAAATAGAATGACCTCTTCAGCGTAATGTTGTTCTCATTGCTACTTGGGGGGGTCGGGGACTTAGTAACTGGTTAGTTACTAACTACTTACTAAGTCCCCCGACCCCCCAAGTACCATGGGCATTACCGCGCTAGGCGGCTCTCACGGGTTTACAATAGTGACGCGCATGCCTTAGTTTCATGTCTTCGCCTATCAAGATCAGAAACATAGACCAAACTTGTAGCAAGCGCTGTAGATCCCCCGACTACTTTTTTCTCGATTCTAGATTG